CAACATATGTCGACGATGTGCAGATAGGTTTTCAATCGTGTTCTCTTGGGATCTGTGAGCGACAGGTTCGACTTGCCCTTAACAAGGTATCCAAATGGGCTGATGAAAACGGGTTCAAACTTAACCTTCAGAAAAGCACCTGTGTCCTTTTTTCACGGAAAGAGGCTTGCACCCTGATCTTGAAGTGGTCCTTATGGGTGAGCGTCTACCCGTAAACACAGAACATAAGTTCCTAGGTATAATTTTAGATGCGAAGTTAACCTTTGTACCGCACATAAAACATATTAAAAATAAATGCTTGAAAACAATAAATATCCTAAAGGTGCTGTCACGAACAACGTGGGGCAGCGACAGAAAGTGCCTCATGAATCTGTATAGAAGCCTTATACGCTCACGCCTAGAGTATGGGGCAATAGTCTATCACTCTGCCCCGCCAAGCACTCTGAAAATGTTGGACCCTGTTCATCATCAAGGCATCCGCCTGTCCACGGGCGCCTTTAGAACAAGCTTAGTTGAGAGCCTTTATGTGGAATCGGACGAGTGGTCACTCTATCAACATATTCTTCCTTCATATATTTCTTTAAAGTAAATGCGAACCGTGAGCAACCTGCATATTCCACTATCAACGACCTGTCCAGCTCTCATTTTTTTTGCGATCGGCCCGCAATGGCACGCCCTTTATCGCTAAGTGTTAGAGACCTAACTGAAGAAACAGATGCCCCAGTGCTTGAATACCACCTCAGCCCCCCCCCCCCCCCCAGCTCTGTGGCTCCCGCCATGGCAGTGGCAGGTTATAGACAGTGACACATCTTTCGTAGCTCTCACAAAGCATGCCTCCCCCATACACATTCCGATGTATTTCATAGAGCTGCAACATAAACATGACTGTTCAGAATATTATACTGATGCATCCAAGTCCCATACTGGCGTGTCCTATGCGGCGGTCGGCCCATCCTTCTCGGATGCCGGCGTTCTGTCTACCAGCATAAGCCTTTTCACAGCTGACACTTACACGTTATTAGTAGCCGTTAAATACATCCAAGAATTGATTGATTTGTGGGGTTTGACGTCTCAAAATCACCATATGATTATGAGAGATGCCGTAGTGAAGGGCTCCGGAAATTTTGACCACCTGGGGTTCTTTAACGTGCGTCCAAATCTGAGCACACGGGCCTACAACACTTCCGCCTCCATCGGAAATGCAGCCGCCGCAGCCGGGAATCGAACCCGCGACCTGTGGGTCAGCAGCCGAGTACCTTAGCCACTAGACCACCGCGGCGGGGCTACATCAAAGAATTGAATACGCCAAAGGTAGTTATATACACAGACTCCCTGAGTGCCGTAAAAGCGTTGAAAAGTTAAAAGAAACACAGAAACCCTGTAATTATATCCCTCTATTCAATACTCTGCGCGGCCTATGCTTCCAAGCAACATATCGTCGTGTGCTGGGTGCCAAGACACCGCAAAATCGAAGGAAATGTGTTGGCTGACCAGCTCGCCACGTCAATCAACGGAAGCACTGCCAACTCTTCAGTTGCTGTCCCTATAATGGACCTAAAACCAAACATACGAGAAAAGCTCAGGGCTTACTGGCAGAAGTTATGGGATCTACAAACTCATAACAAGTTACACTTGATCAAACCATACCTCGGTAACTGGCCACCCACGTCGAAAACGCGCCGCACAGAGGTCAGCCTCTGTCGGCTTAGAACAGGACGCACACAAAGCACGCACACACACCTTTTGTCCGGTGGTTACCCACCCAGCTGTCACAGATGTGGCCGTCCACTTACCGTACTCCACATACTCCTTGAATGCTCTGAGCTAGAGGCTTACAGGAAAAAACATTTTCCACTAGCGTTCAAGGAACACATACCCGTTCACCCAGCTATGTTTATTGGTCGCGAACCTCTTTTTAAATATAATGCATTGAATGCATTCTTAAAGGAAGTAAATACTTTTTATGTTGTCTATTCAAGTGATCGGTAGCACGGCCTCTGAAAAGACGCTGCTGCTGCGGATGCTACATCCAAAGAGAGCACCTGTCTCCCGGCCCTTGGGACCAAGGGCGCTGGTGAGGCATCGGTGCCAATATAACACTCCTATTCTATGGTGTCATGATTATTCAGAACTCATTCTCACCAGGCATGCTTCACTTCACTTCCATGATTTTAATAAATATATGTCTTACGCACCTTTAGAGCGCAGAATCTTAGGCCCTTTTACAGCCATTTAACATACCCATTGCTCCGATCCAATATCAATTCCTGGCGCTCTTTGGCCATCAATGGCCCTTGCACCATTAAACAACATATATCATCATCATCGTAAGGGTTAGGTTTTTTACCAACTTCGCCACAGGCACACATACAAGAGGCTTTGCACACGGACCTTGTATCTCGCACACCTCTTTCTCACTGTGGTGATATTTGGCGGGGTGGTGTCGCCGTACAAAAGCGTGGAAGCAAAGCACTACATCAGCACACAAACGGGTGCCGGCAGGGAGGGCTTCAGTAGTTTCAGTGCAACGGGGGCACTAAATGCGTTGTTGTAGTAAGCGCTATGACCGGTTCAATTCATTGTACAGGATGAATATGCCTGTAGACGACGTATTACGTGCTTTTCCATTCGCATTATGTTAGCGGGATGAATCGGCGACCAAGTAGTGTAGCTTCAACAGGCATCAACGGCGTTTCTCTGCCGCCTGATGCTAATAAAAGTGCTACCATAAGCGGCAAAAAAGGCAATGACGGGGATGGATGAATTTTCTGGAGCAAGTGATTTTGTGCAGTGAGCTGCCAGTGGTTTGCGGAACACCTTTACCACTTTCACGCTTTCAGCTGTGATCTCTGCTTATCACGTTCCGGAAGTGCTGTGTCGCATATGCCTGAGCACAGGTACAATTTACCCTATTTCTAGGAAGCGCACGCCTTAGAGTTTTCATCGTCACATGACGGCACTGTGAATGGAATGAGTACATATGAAATGCCACTGTCTATTACGTGCTTGTCGACGCCATCCAAGCATGGGATTCGCAGTATGTATTGTCCAGTTGTGTTAAATACATCGCTACCACAATAGTTGAGTCAAGATCATGAACGCATGCAGTACTTGGGATGTAGATGAGCCACTAAGCGTCCACGTGGGTGCTTTCGCTTCTGTGGCAAGCAAACACCAATATACATTGTGCAATATCTCATTCATCAGTGTATAATAAACAATCAACAACATTAGCAAAGACACGGTTTACTTCCTTGTTATGCCGATTCCTACGACAGACGGATAAACCATACACCCCCCCTGAATTTCTCTCTGCCTCTATATTTATTTTGCTCTATCTCGCTGAATTTTCTCTCACCCATCAGATTTATTGCACACCCCGGCAGCGAAATCAGAGCATGTGTTCTGGGAGCGATGCACAAAATGAAGAGGACGATGGTGATCAAGAAGAGGACGAAGAGCGTGCTTGTTGACCTTACCTGGTTCGTGATAATCATCACTTTCTCTTCGCATCTCACGGACTGACGCCTTCTTTAAACTGCTTCGTTCTTTAAAAATATCAGTCCTGTCGCAAGAGCGAGACAAGCAATTCGATGGCAACAAATTTAAATATTGTACAATAAAGCCAGGAGGAAACTCCTGCGGTCGCTCGAGGAAGCGCAATGGTTTTAGGGCTGACTGTCGTATCAACAAAAACTAAGCGATAAGAGGGCAGCATGTGAAAAGGTGTATCAAAAAATCTACTTATGTCTGCCTGTATAGCGCCCGCCAGCGTCCACTACCGCAATCTTATGATAAATGTCGTAGTGTTTCCTCGTTCAACGCTCAGCCATTTCCCCCCTTACAACGTCACTCCTTCATGCTCCTTTGCCCCGAAGAAAAAGAAATGGAGCGTTTCCTTCCTGCCTAAGAAGCCATCGACGCAAAGCTCGCGCTTGAGTAGACATTATTGCATGCGTCGTTCGTGCAACCGAAATGACCGGCTTGTTTTATTTCTCCAGCCGAGTTAGTCCCTATTTCTTGTGTGGAGAACTTATGATGCACGGGGCGCTGTTTTCGATTTCGACTTGATGCGTTGCATGACGGCGACGTCAAGGAACTCACTGAGGGTGTCCATATAATTTTAAAATTTTCACACTGGCCAACCTTGTACAAGGTTGTCTGCTGTTTCCTTTTGCCTCCCCTTGACTGCACAGCACGTCATAAAAGGACCGCAGTATTTTCGCAGTATTACGATTCATACGACTGCGTCTGACGTAATTAATATTGTGGTATATCATTCGTGTGGCTGTGTCGTCGGGTGTTGGATTGGTGCCCCTCGGAGTGGTATGTATCGTGGCTTCGAGATCCACAGTGCCCGAACAAAAAGTCGTTTGTGGTCTATTAGGAGGAATCATTCGAGTATACAAGCTCTCAAATCTTCTGAATGTATATACCAGGCGATCGGATAGTCAGGCAAACAATGATCACGCCTTCTTCCGTGCTGCATATTTTTTTTGCGAACTATCTCTGCTCCGATTGGTGACTTGTGGTTCGTCGCTACACTGCGTAAATGGTAGTCACATTCTTACCTCCGCGTTATAGGTCTGTATCAGTAAAGTATGCGCCTCCAATTGTCGTACACATCGACATGTCCACAACCAAGCTCAGCGATTTATCAAATGATACAAATGACATTTACTCCAACTAGTTCAATTCATCATGTAAGTTTTTGGTGGAATTACTTTTTTGTTAGATGTTTTTGCCGTTAGATTTGGTACTCAACAGATTCGGTACTCAGTACGCAATGGCAGGAGGTCTTCTAATTTAAAATACTGATGCCGAACGATGGCTGAGCCCGGGTGCTTCACAATGCACCTTACTTCCACTGAAAAAATGAAGTGACCAAAAGACATGTGAACTACGGCCATCTTTTGATATTATAACGTTTCAATTCGCGCACGTACGTTCCAGATAATGACTTTGGTGATTCTACTTATTCATAAAATCTTCTGAGACCAAAAAAAAGCTTTCTTTATTGCCTATGTACAGCCTTATTTTTGCAAGGGAAATGTTTTGAAATGCGCTGGCACTTGTGCATCAACTTCAGAATGATTGGCGAATGTGTACTGAGAGCGCAGATCATTCAGGTGAGCTGAATTACCTGAAAAAAAAACACAAAGACAGCAAAAGCACGTATGAGTCGATGATTTGTGTGAAAACATTTGTAACCCAAAGGTGTTATAACTAGTAAGTGTTGGCAATTTTGAGATATAGAGAAGGCCAGATCACCAGAAAAGTAGGATTTTGCAACATTCAAGCTGGATTTGGCAATAAAATGTTGATACCACTAGCATAACGCACGCCAGAATATGTCAGTGCATGTGCTGACTTTTACAGACGTCCTTTAAGTTGAATGGAACGAGAACAACTTTCTTGATTGTATTTAACACTGAAACAACAAAGACCAAGGTTACAAATAAAAAAGCGTTTAAAATTAAGGCGAACTCAAACCTACTGAGCAGTGGCCACAACTTGTCAGCTTGCAAAAAAGCAAGAGAAAACAAAAAGATTGCCTAAACAAACTTTCAACACCTTAGATTATTCAGTCAATTGTTTTTTTCGTCTGTTCTTGTAACTTGAAAAGATTGTTGTCGTGACTGTGAAGTTCCTTTGCATTCACCTTCCTTCTGTTTCGAGTCAATAAACATTTCGAATACAAGTAAGTTTTTGTGTTATAGTAATACTTTGTCAATGTTGTCACGCCCCTTTTATCTAAAATGGAACTGTACCAACAAACTCTCTTGTTGACTTTACCTATAGCGTGTTGTAAAACAATATTTAGCTACAATATAGGACCGACCTTGTCAATGAGACACGTAAAATGTTTTCGCGTTTTGTAAATTTCCTTGTTCGCTACCAATTGTCCTTTCTTGCGTATGGCGAATATTCTTTAGAAACGCTATTCGGAAGATACTTTCGTGCTACGTTCTATTACATCAGGCTGATACATGAGCGTCATTAAGAGGAAGTGCATGCGAAATCAGGGTTGCGAAAGTGTCAGAGCTGACATTTTTTTAACATAAAGTATTCAAACAGCAACTAGCTCATCGATTTTACCTTATTGAGACAACTTATTTTATAAAACTTAGTGAATAAAAAGGCGGTGGCTCGGACCCCTTGTTAAGTGCATTCTACCCTGCAAAGAGTTCTTATCATTCTTTTTGTCAATGGCTTTAGCTGAACATTGAAGCTCGGGCCCATGTGTATTTTTGTACACTTCGTTCAAATACGAAGCGCAGTGACCTCTTGAAAGTCATAGCCTCACGTGATCATTAGGCAGTTGGCTCATGACAGATGCATACATGGGAAGAAAAATGAAAAATTTAAATGAAAGGTTCCATGATCTCTGACAAACAGCCGGAGGTGATGCCTCACAGTCTTCTACGCTATCACATGACAGTTGTCGTGGTGTTGTTCACGAGTGCTTCTATAGAGCTTCTGGGTAGAAGTGCTCTGTGTTTCGAAGCTGGTATGGACATTGACTTCCTTGTCCGTATTCGAACACCCAAGAACAAACCGAGTAACAGCTAAAGTGCAACCTTACAGTTCATGTGTGAAACAGCGGTCGCCATTTGCTTGATCACTTCTGAAGCCTGCACCATAATCCAAAATTGTAGTGAGAAGTAACAATTATAGATAGTTTGCTGCCTTCGTTAAAACATAGTAATTAGGATAAGTGGTTTGCGCTGGTGGCACATAGCCACCAAGCTGGCAGACAGACATGCTGGCTTGCCATCTTACTGCGTGCACTTCATCACCAAACCGCTAAACCAGTTATAGAATGTGACCAATACTTCTTTATGTATTACCATCCATGTCCACCATATCCGCCGTAGCCACCTCCGTAGCCTCCTCCATGTCCTCCACCGTGGCCTACCAAGTCATAGCCACCAAGAACGGGCCCACCGTGGCTAATCTTGTGCACATGGTGCACAGTGCTCACTAGGAATGAGGGTCCAGGCACCACTTTGCTGTAACCGCCATGTCCGCCTCCGCCATAACCACCACCATGCCCGGCCAAGATGATGGCACCATGGCCACCGCCGTAGCCCCCTGCTGTTGCCGTTGTTGCGAAGACACCGAGTGCTAATACGATGACCTTGTAACGGTAAATACCAAGAGCTAAATTACCAAATACTACAACTGCTACTAACAAAAACTACAAGCTACGAGTTGTAGAGTGGGTTGAGCTACCACGTTATTAAGCGACTATCACATACAAAAATGTGCACAATTGTAACAGTGATCTCTCATGTTCAAACGTAGTGCCGTAGATACTGCTTTACGTATGCTTTAATTATACCATTAACCATTGACTGTCTGTTCAACCCCAATTATGCATAATTTCATAGCTGCAAATAACCATAATCACTATAAATATCAGCACATCGTCTAAATGATGAATTTAGCACTGTGGCGAAAAACAAAGTAAACATCGCTTGGCTTTCAATACAAGTGCAGCACTCCACCATGAGGAAAGATTACGCTGTCATCAGATCTGAAGATGCACTGGCAAGGCATTCACTTGAACTAGCTGAGGCAAAAAAAGAAATGCCTCGAGAACAGTGGCGTGGGTGCAGGCGCACGCTCTTTAAAAGCCCCAGACAGCAGCTGCGATGAATAATCGGTTGACAGAGAATGTCACTGGAGCGAACTTTTTGACAAATGGGCTTGCCTTCGTCAAGGCTGGTCTTCGTCAATTGCATTGTCCGAAATGTTGGCTTCACCATAATTTTGCTGATGAACTATTTTTGATCACTCGAAGCTTTCGACCTTTCCTGAACTTGTGTCTTCTTCGGGCAGCAATGGTGGCACTGCTCGAAACAAGTGGATCAAGTGAAATAAAATTTGGCAAACGCCTTCGGGTTGACGGGTTTCGATGTTTTTCTAAAAAGCTAAATTATTACATGAATGTCACCTAGGGCGCGCAATGTACGGAGTTGGTCATTACTATACTCGCGCATGCAAATATTCATGCTATGATATGTCACAAGCGTTAACGGTGTCGACTGTAGCCACGTCAACTCACCCAAGCGTTCATATTTCTCGCAGATGCTAGACGAGTTGTCGATTCACGCAGTGGCCACTGCTCGAGTTTCAACTGTCGCGCTTGGCTTCCTATGCCCCTGTTATATAGCGCACTCTCAAGCAATAAGAAAGTGGGAGCTGACGTATGTGCGTGAACTTCCGTGCCAGCCCCTGAGGCCGGTCATTTAGCTTTCACTCACATTCTCTTCCGTTCATACTATTGTGCTTACCTTCTTTGCGTAGTATTTCCTTATTTTATTGTTCGTGCACCCGACGTTACCTCCGATAGAATCGCAGATTTGGTTCACAGGCCGAGAGCGCGCATTGTTGCGTGGCATGATTGTCTGGGCAGGAGTGTGAACCCGAATAACCGTCGGGGGTCGTGTTGTTTTTGCTGGCGGAGGCCTGTTTTCCTGATCGTGTTTGACTACTAGGACACTCCGCCCATTACGGAGAACATTTGAGTGAAGTATGGATCTCCATAGCAACCTGTACTTATGCCGAAAACAAAAACGTTTTGTCGCCTTCAAAAACGTTATTCTAGTTATACGTGTCCGTACGTTCAGCTTTTTACTTCCTCGTTGCGTGCACTCGGAAGTTGCGGTAACCGCTGCATTAGTGAAGCGAAAACGCATACGAGGCTTTTCGCTACTTCTGGTCTCATCTTGTACGACACCTTTCAGCTTCATGCTCCGTTTGCTGTGCACCTGAGGCGGCGATCTTCAGTGTTATCTGGAGTATCTGGCCCAGTACCACACTTTTTGGTCAAGCGGAACAACTTGGTAGTTTTGTGGTTAGCAGTTAACAGTGAATTAGGCATGGGCTTTAGTTTTAAAAATTAATGTTTCTATAGAATTGTTTTTTACGGGTAGCACAGCAATATCTTCGTAATTTTTCGAACGCAGTGAAGTGATGTTGTTTTACCGCTTTATTCAAATTCACAGAATTGAACTGTACGCTTCGTTCAGACTTTTTGATGAAGGTAAAAATGCTTAATACCAGTGTGCTTAGAAGAAGGCGCACGTAAACAACCTCAGGTGATCAAAATAATTATATCGTTGTGCTTTAACGTTGAACACCAGCAATATTCTTAATATTTTTTGCTTCACTAGAATTCATCACCTCTCAAAACTAAGCGCCTAATTCAGATGGATATTGGGGCAAAATATATTTAAACACAATGAAAACATCATAGACGCAATTTAACAACCGAACACATCTCCACTGTGTGAGTGGAAGTGACAGAAACATATAAATGACGACGGAGTAAGTACGCTAGGCGTTTTAAGCGTGGAGATATTCAAGCTTTTCGTGCGAACAGAAACTAACATCATCATTAACCGGTACGCGTTAGCTCCTTCCTCTTCAAGTTACGCGTCACTCCCACAAAGCGTGCGACTATTTCTCTGATGGGGAATATTTTACTATAATGTGCGAGTTGGTTAAATGACTGAAAATTACGAAACACCACTTAACAATCAGTCACGGGACTAAAATCATGCATAATAGAAATGATAATGCAACCCAAGATTACGTAACGTCTCGTCAGGTAACGAAAATCACGCAACATCCCGGACCAACTAGCCACTTGACTGAAATCACGCTACAGTGCGTCAGAACATTTATGTGAATAATAAGCACATAGCAGCATGCAACTAAAATCAGACAGTCACGTCCCTACTCAAGTAACTGAAAGTATTCACTTAACATTCGGTCATCTGACGAAACATCACTTAACGTCATGCATCTACTCCAACATCAATGTAACAATATGGGATAACTAGTAATATTATTAGTAATAAATTATGAGGGTTTAACCTCCAAGAACCACGATATGATGTAGAGCCGGCGTGTGGAGGGCTCTGCTAATTTCGATCATGTGGGGTTTTTAACGTACTCCTAAATCTGAATACACAGGCCTCAAGAATTTTCATCTCCAGCTATGTAACAGCTAGTCACGTGACTAAAGATTACGTAACATCTCGTTACAAGTAATAATGTTAATAAAATATTGCAACACCGTGGAGCAGGTAGTCACGTGGTACGTTCCCGTCATAAACCATGTAACAGCTAGTGCTGTGACTAAATTCATGTAATAGCTACTCACGTGGCATGTTCCTACCCAAAATGACTTAATAGCTAGTCATGTGACTAAAGTCGCGTAACATCTCATAACAACTTGTCACGTAACGTGTTGCAGATAAAAGCACCTAACAGTAAGTGACGCGACAATAAAATCCCGTCATGTAGCAGCTAGCCACATGACATGTTTCCACCATTAACAACGTAACAATTAGTCATGTGACTAAAATTATGCAACCTCACCTACCAGCCTGTGATGTGACGTCTTCCCATCAGACACCACGTAAGAGCTAATCACGTCGCTATCAAGCGAAATCTTAGGATTTACAGGAAAAAAGTTTGCTAGGTAGAACACTATAGCTTTGCTGGTGTTTCTACGAATCTTGCGTCACTAGTGCTATCCGAGCACTTTTTTTGCAGGAAAGTTTTTACGAGATCAGAACACGGTTCACGTGCGGCTCCGTAGTTGTCCACCGCCGGTGTCCGTAACCACTATTGCAGGAAATAAGTCGCCAAGGACACAATTGGATTCAATCCCGGGTCGCCTGCGTGCTAGCCTAGTATTCTACCACTGAGCCACGGGGGTGCTGTTTCCCGACTGGGCTTAGGCAGGCTTGGTTACGGCAAAGGAGTCACGGTAATGTCAGTAATAAAGCGTTTCAGAATATCAAAGGAACCACCAGGCGTTACACATTGTGAATTCTGTAACGAGTGGGTCATCCAATGCTTCAACTCATTACAAAAGCTTGTTCTGGATCATAGCTTAACTGTGATGCATACCCACTTCAGGCATAATTCTTCAGGCATAATACGTGTGTAGCGGCCCCGCCGCAGTGGTCTCGTGGCTAAGGTACTCGGCTGCTGACCCGCTGGTCCCGGGATCAAAGCCCGGTGGTGGTGGCTGCATTTTTAATGGAGGCGAAAATGCTGCAGGTCTATGTGCTCTGATTTGTGTTCATGTTAAAGAACTCCAGGTGGTCGAAATTTCCGGAGCCCTCCACTACGGCGTCTCTCATGATCATATGGTGGTTATGAGACGTTAAACCCCACATATCAATCAAATAAGTGTGTAGTGGATACGACACTCTTTCGATTATTGATGAATATAGCAGAGTGAATGCCGGCCAAGTAGACAATAATTATGATTCGCGTTCCGCAGCACCAAAATAATGTTATTTTTCCTCCTTTCTTATATATGGCATCGTGGATTCCGAGCAAGTGTACTTGTAGTAGTTACCCAAAGATTGATTAGAAAATGGCTCTGAAAGGCCAATCATCGAGCTTTAGCATTGACTTTGCTGCGCGCTCCGCGCAGGCCTGGCGTTTTTTTTTTCTCTTTCTTAGTAAATCGTCTTGTCCGTCAGCGTTTTTCTTCTAACACCGTCTGATGAGAATCGGCCTTTGTGAACCTTGTAAAATGCCCTGTGTGCTACCATGGTTTTTTAAGTCTTCAGAAAAGGTCTTAATACTGCAACTACTCATACCTATAGCTGCGCTATCGGCTTTGTAGAGAGAGAAAAGAGAGAGGGTGGAACGGAGGGTGCAGTGCGAGAGGGTGCACGCACTTTATTTAAAAGCAGAGAGCTTTGCCTCCGTACAATTAACCTATATTGTATTCTACATGAAACGCTGATCATCACACGTTTTCAGTGACTCCGTCACATGAATCATACCACAAAATTAAAACAAGTGTAATCTAAGTGGGTGATAAGGGCCCCAGCAATAAACAATTATTGGCCTTAGGCTAAATGGCTTTCGCCTGTTGGCACAAACCGGTAAATCAAGCGTTTATTCTTTCGAGCTTTTTTTATCTTTATATATCATCTCTCTCGTGACACATTGTAGAGTATACCATGATCGAAAACTTTTTTTATGCACAACGTTGTCTTCGTGGTTTATTTCGTGGTCCTTTGTTAGGATTATGACAATATGAGAACTTGTATTCATCCAAGACACTTCAATATGTTTCTAGCTAGTTTTGGTGTATGATAGGCTTTGTTGGAGTTTAACAATCCAAAACCACTATATGATTATGAGAGACACCATAGGAGATGGCTTCGAAAATCTCGAGCAGAAATATAGGTACCTGGGCCTCAATCAATATCGCTTGCATCTAAAAAGTGCCCGCAGCTGTGGGCATGTGATCCCGCGACATGCATATTAGTGGTTTGTCATCTCTATGAGAGCACCTCATGTATTCCCTTAAACATTCTACACAATGCACCGAAAGACTACACGTGCGCCTGTGTGAAATAACATCCTGACTTATTATAGGAATTTGTTTCGCTATGAGCTAAATTTCAAGGATCTTGATTCCAGATACAAAATTTAGAAACTCTATATGCTTGTGTTGTTTGATAGCACTGCACGCGAGGGCACTTGTGTCCGATTGTGACCAACAAACATTGCCTTTAAGGTATTTTACTTTTGGTTTAAAGTAAAAGAGTGCTCATCTGAGTGTTCAGCACCCTGCGACATTGCCCCTAGTAGGACACAGCGAGGTGCCTTTCGTGACACTCCGTCTATTGACGTTCCATCTATTGTGACGTTCCATGTATTATAAACATCGCAGAACAATTACGGGTCGGACAGACAACTATAACTGACAGAGCTATTGTTCTTAACTCCTGCCTCTCTCTGTGTTGTCGGGCTGCTCTCAAAATAGAAAAAGGCGTTTACGCCAAAAAGAATTTTCCTTTTTAGTGGGTAATGCTCAAAGCACCCACATTGTTTTGTCATTCACGATGCGCGTGTCCCTCGATTTGAACATTGAGCGTTCAGTGTCAACAAAGCTTCAGCGATCGTGATCTTAAGTGCTACTGAGCTGTGGGCCACCCATTTGTTGCAAATTTGGGCGACTATTTTAAACATTGGTCACATTGGCCTAACATTCGTCACAGTTCACAAGGCCAACATTAACGATACAGTACGTTTCAGAATTTACAACAAATTAGAAATAAAAAAAAACGCAAGGCTACAAGTTACAGGGGAAAAAAAGCAGGAATAAAGCTGTCGGTGGCAGCTTATCGGGGCTCCTTTATCGTTGATATATCAACGATAAAGGAGCCCTGACAGCAATATGGTAACAGCGTGTCCGTATACGCAGCACACATTTTTTTACGTCACATTTATGAATCAGTGTTTGTTATCTGTGGACCGTGGTTTTGCCTCATTAAAACTAACAAGCTGCGTTCTTTTGCTCTACTTTTTGAATTGAGTGAACTGACTGAAATAATTTACTCCTTCTTGTTTTTATTTGTGTCTCTATCGCATGCTCTCATTTCAGCCGACTGTACTAAGCAGGTGGGCTGGTTATCCTGGACTTGTTAACCTCCCAGCTTTTCCTCCTGTATACTTTGTCTTCTTCTTCTTGAACTTTATTTGGGACATGAGGCGTTGACTCACTTGATTAAAAGGTTTATCTTTTGCACTAGGCCTTATGTCAGAACCTCTGAAGCATATGTAATTGCGTATATTGATTTCCAAATCAATGTTCAGCGACCATAATATTCACAGCAGAATGAAAAACATATCATTAAAGAGACATTCTTTATTTTATATGAGAAAGTACCCTAATTAATAACTCCTGGGCCACTATGGCACCTCTGATGCTTTTCTTGCGATAAGACCAATCTTGATACAGAAGCTTGCTCACGCTATGTAGTCGATGCTCCGTGCACACGTATGAAAAAGAGATCCTGTATAAGATGTCTGCCCCACCACTCTTTTGTAGCACATAAAGCAATAACAACTCTTACGTGCTTTTGGAAAATGCAACCTCCATAATTAATAATAATGAGACTTCATGTACATGGTGTGTAGACGTTTATTTACATCGTTTGCATAATACATATTTCCAGTCGATAACTGTCGCTATGATGCTGTTGTCTAGACGATGATGTCGTATTTGCTTATACGTAGCACGGTTGACTGGAAATTACCTGCACAGAAAAAGAAACATTATCTTCATGCATAGGAAAGAAACAAGCAGCAAATAGAACAGTTTTTTTCCCAAGGAACTTTCAACACAGAGCTCCCACAAAACAACTCCTAAAGATAAACGGAATCTAGCAATTTTGACACAATGTGGATAATTTCGCGCAATGACCAGCACTCTCATCACTGTTTTAGAGATACGTAATGGACGTGAGATGGTAACTTAAGCTGAATTCACAACTTCACTTGTATTGTTTTAAAGAAATGAAGTTTTACTGATTCGAACGGTAGCCGATTAGAAATGGCAGAAAATTTTGGTGAAGAGACATACAATCACTGTTTCTGTATTACGTTAACACCCGTCAGGTTACATTTTGTGCGTGAGACAGATCGCCCACGCGGTGAATGAAGGACTTCATTGGGAGCCGTTATGATGAGGCCTATAATACTAGAAGCGTAGAATTGAAAAACAAAGCAGAGTAAGTCTACCAAACAATGTTTTCGATATGTATTCCTTCATGTTCGCTCCGCTACTCCACCACCACAAAGGGTATATTTCCAGGTGAATCCGCAGACATGCATTGAGTATAACCATACGAACCACCATCCGCCGTGACCAAGACCACCATAGCTCTTTCCGAAGCTACCGTAGCTGCCAGAGAAGCCGCCACCGAAGCCGCCACCGAAGCCGTGGGAGTATCCACCGCCATGTCCGAAGCCGCCACCGTATCCGCCAGAATAACCTCCAGTCGAACCACCTCCGATGACAGCTCCTCCGTGAGAAACCTTCTTGACCTGAAAGTTATTTTGTATTTGCACAACTACCGTAAACGAGTTATTCCAGTAGGTGATCAAAGAATGCGCTCTAGGTCTACTCTGGGGGCTCGCCATGCTATCCCGGCGGTGCTATCGCGGCATGACGCCATGCCCAGTTCGCACGGTAAAAACGACTCGTTTGAGAGTGCGTCGAGCAGTGTTTGTAAGCACAGGAAACGAAGATATTTTATTTTCCTGCGCTGTTCATAAGATAGGCGTCACATGCCGCGTTCATTTTTCGCAATAGTTTCAGCACAGGCTTAATTTGCGGTCTGAAGCACATCTGTGCGTCAATTTCTGATTGATTTGTAAGGTTTAACGTCCCAAAACCGCGGTATGATTTTAAGAGATGCCGTAGTGGAGGGCTATGAGAATTTTGACAACCTGGGGTTCTTTAACGTGCCCTCAAATCTGAGCACACGGGCCTACAATATTTTCGCCTCCATCGGAAATGCAGCCGGGATTCGATCCCGCGACCTGCGGGTCAGCAGACGAGTAGCTTAGCCACTAGACTACCGCGATGGGGCTGCGTCAGTTTCCGACTACATCCATATGGAGGTCTGCCTTGGTCCTTTTTTACTAGCCTGTGTTGGTCATGTGTTTAAGCAGCAGGTTCTGTTAATAAGTAAACATCGCGAAGTATTCTACAATTAAACATGACTGATCAGTTTAACTATCCACGTTTAAACTTGTTCACTGATCTTATTCCGGCATGGTTCTGCTACCTGCCTTGCTACAACTTTCCTCAATCGTTAATGCTAACCGGAACAACGTTCATTGGTTGCAGTCGACCATTTTCGTATGTCAAACAATGTCAAGTTTCTCACCTGGTGCAGCGTCTTGACGACATAAGTGGGTCCTTGAACAACCTGCGGCTGCGAAGATCCCGCGGTAGTGGCTGACGCTGCGCTTCCATGGCCAAATCCTGCGCCGCCACCACCTCCTGTCTGAATTCCCTTGACAACAATAACGCTGTGTCCCCCAGCGAAGCCGCCGCAATGAACTGTGGTCATGAGGCCACACATTACAACCACTGCAACCACCTGCAACGAATCACATTCGGTCAACAATGATAACAGTGCAAGAATTGGATGGGGATGAAATAATTCTTACATGCGTATAAGTGCAATGAAGGTTACCAAGTGAAAGACTAAAATTTGAAAAAAGTTATTATCATGAGCCTGACTACATCGAATGCAAGGCAAATTACTCTGCCAAGTTCCAAATCTCATGTCTCATGCGACCGAATCAAATGCGTTCTCGAAACCTGGGAAGGCTATATTATAAGAGTTGGTTGTATTCCACAAATTTCTCTATCACCTCATTGTTAGTATGAATATAGTGGATTATTTAGTAGCCTCTACTAAATTCTATTTGGCCATACGATTTATTGAACTGAACGTTGGCTCCTTATGTATTATTTGTGTAAGACAATCTACAGCAAGCCGATCGTCATGTAATTTTTGAAGTCTTTGACGTCCCGTTTCTTGTGGATTAAGATAACGTCAACATTCTCCACATATTCTGGTACCATCACCGTCAAGAGAACCTTCGTGTACAGGGTGACTAGTTATCCTAATACAATAATCCCATCGTCTTTCAACAAATCTAATGTTACCAGGTTCTCGCCAGAGGCTTTGCCCCTTTGCGTTCTCTCCAAGGCATTTCCTAATTCCCCTTTGCTTACTGGTGAAATGTCCACTTCCTCTAGTTTACTAGTACTTATAACATCATCATCCTACTTTCTCTCAGCTGCTGAATAGACAGACATCTGCACAGAAGTTGTGATTCAGTATATATAACGTTGTTTTTCATAATAGGTTCAAGTAACGATGGGCACAGCAGATGTAAATGCTTCTGGAGTGAATTAGTCAAAACACTCTTATTTTATAAATTTTACCTGAAGCAAACGCTCAAGCTCTTAGAGTGAATCAATGGTGCATATGCTAGGCGTATCAATGAAGCTATTTTGTTTTTGTCCGGATAGAATTTTAAGTACGCGTTTATTTAGGATTAGACTTGAAGTCACATGGTTAGATGCAAGAGCAGTACCACTAGTGTGACGCCTTAGGGGTTTTAATTTTGGCTGTATCATTGCATCTACTGGATCTTTTTTTATGCCGTAAATGATGCAAAAATTTCAAACTCTTACTATGTATCTCCTTGAAACTTTTGTAGAACATTAAAGGGAGTTCTTTAGTAATTATTGGGACTGAAATAAAAATATTTGTGGACCTAATGATGGCACACATACATTTCTTATGCAATCGCAAACGCGGCAGTAACGCGAAATTTCATCCATCACGTATTGCTGCGTTTAATGGGAACACAAATAGTGTGAGAAAAGCCGTATGCCATTGAGGCAGTAGCACACCGCTTTTTCACATTATTCATGAACCCCAACATTGTTTAGAAGAGTAGTGGTTCGGACTAGTTCGTACTGCATCACCTTCAACCTATTAGCACGGAAACTTCACAAAGAATATTTCTGTTATTCCGCCTTTTATTTTGTGGCTTTTCGAGCTATTTTATAATATTAGTATTCGCAACAAAGAATACAAAGCACTAATATGACAACTTTAACAACGAATAACTTGTTGCAAAAATTTTGGTGTAACTCTAGCGCAAATTGATACCACATTAGCAGCCGTATCTCACATTAATGTGCTATATAACTGCAGCCTTGTTAAACGCGTGCTCACCAGTGAGTTCATGATCCTAGGAGCGAGTTGCGTTGAAGCACCGTCGTATGAAGGCTTCTGGGCAGGTGTGAGCTGTGAAACATCACAGAGACCTCGGCTTTATATAGGAGATTTACCTGACGTAGGGAAAGAAGAGAAGAAAAAAAGGAGCTGGTTGGAGTGGCGTTTTCCTGAGCCTCATAGCACTGAAGTATTGGGAGGAACATTCCTAGTAGCAAAAAATGAGAATGACAGTAAATAAATATAGAAGCGGGACATTCGCTTTCAACACAGTGCAACTTGCACATCACACGCCCCGACGTTTTCTTCCTGACAGTTGCGCTCGGTGCTACTTGTTAATCAGAAAGTGAAATGGCTCTGCATGGCTGATCACCTAACTGTGCCTTTTTCCGCACTCCTGTGCCCCTTTGCGGGGGCCCTACATCAAAATAAGACGGGGTGACCCGCTGTCTGCGTAAGTGTCTCAGTATAGCAAGGCACGTCTTCTATCAAAGTAACATCCGCAGGTTGCCACGATGCTACTTTGGTGTTTTCCTTCAGTATAATTTGTTGTTATTTGCGTGCGGTGGGCGTTTTCTCATCTTTCTTTTTTATTTTCTTAGCTTGATCGCTCGAATGCGGTGTAAACTGCGGTGGGGATAGGTGCTAAGGCCATTCAGAGCTCGGTAGCTGTTTCGCGCTTCTTGCACCAGAACAACAGTTTTAGGCTCACTGTATACGTCGCACACGTGCGCGTCAAGTTAGATAAGGGTGTCTTAGTTTGTGTAATGACGGGTCGACAAAACGCAATTGTTGAGGTAAGGTTTTGAGGGGTTTGCGATTTCGAAATACAAGGCTATTTATAAACTGCGAAGGATTTCTTTGCATTCTGCAGGTTTTCTAGCGTCTGTCTACGTATCTATTTATCTCTGTCTTGCCGCCTACGCTTGGGTGTTCTCCTGATCAACCCCTTACCTTTGGGTGAACAAAATTTAGTATGGGAGGCTCATTCGCTTCGACGAATATCACTCGGTGTTAGTAAGTAATGAGTAATGCGACATGTCGTAACGTATGTCATCAAACCATTTCGACCAGACACGTTCCGCACGAATATATGTGCCAATGTTGATTGACAGTTTTATATATACCCAGGAATGGTGAGAGCAGAGATCTGCAACTTTAATGGGAAATCGTGAAGAAAAAGTTGACATCGCCAGCGCCGATCCAATGAATGCAAAGAATAAATGTCGTGCTACCAGCTAAAATTGAACCCAAACATTTGGTGTGAAAATCAAGTCGTCTACCACAGAGCACGCCAGTTATCAGAACTGCTTTTCAAATAGACCCTAATCATCGTGAAATGTCAATTATAGTTGCAGTTCTGGCTATCTTATATTAACGTCATAGCGTTAAACAGCTGGTTTTGCAGAAGTTCTGGCGTCGGCAAATCATCTTGTGCGAGAGCGAAAAATTGAGAAAATGCAAATAAGATAAATAATCAAAAATTCTGGGTGCAAGTTGGGATCGAATTTGGGTCGTTTGCGTGACACGCGGGTGTTCTACCACAGAGCCACGCGTCTGCTCGTGATTCTAGCGAAAAAAGCTTCATCTGCTTGGAAATGCAGTGAAAGTCCCTATTATGCTTTACAAACACACTCGTCCAGTATACATGCTTCACAATACAAGAAGAAATATTGCAGTAGTATTGCGTGGTACAAGTGTAGAGGCTATTGCATACTTAGGGTAAATCTTGGAGTGCCTGGCATCGCCATGCACCTAGCGGTGCAATCGCTCGCCGGTAGCAGCTTACGCGTGCGCAGACGCTTAAAGTGTCTAGAGATGAACCGCGTCGCCAACTAAGGTAGGCCGTGTACCGCATTCTCAGCCAACGCACAGATATAATTGGCAATGCGGGAACTGGGCCAACACTCTGCACTAATCATTTTCAGAAACATCTGAGCCACAACACAGCATACCAAGAGACATAGAGCGACAACCTTGCGCATGCTTTCTTTCTTCGTCTCCCGTTCGCTGCGCTGTTTTCAGATGTTCGTGTAACAACTTGCCCAACTTTTAACGCTTGTCTGCACTAAACGTCGTGCAATGCCAACCTCTCAGTTTTTTTCTTATAATAATGGAGCACTAGAAAAAAGTATTTGACAGCATATTTTGTTTTCTCTATCGAAAGATCTTGACACTCTCTGCGTTCACGAATGTTTCTCCATTGTGTGCGCGCCGCAGTAGGCTTGGATGAGGAAGACACGATAATTAAGCACGAAACATGCATGGCCTCTCTTTGACTTCAAATTAAATCAAATACGCAGTTGTGACTGCTGAGCAGCTGCACAAGTTCAACAAAACAAAATAAGTGAGAATTATTTCAGGAATGATTCAATATAGAACCACCTAAACATGCTTATTCTCATCGATGTTTGAGCACAAAAAAAAGGACTCGCACCCGGCACAGAAATGTAGGCGTGACGCTTCCAAGTGCTTGTCCCCGGTGGTAGTGATAACGCTCATTCTAGGCGGCAGTGAATGCATGGTGTCAGTATGTCCACAGCATGTCTCCTTCGTTGACGATGGGGACGTGGCAACACAAGATCCCGATTGAGCTGAATAAAACAGGGGCTCGTCTGCCCCTGCCTTACGTTTTCCCACCTTTTTTTCTTGTCTGAAGAGAGCAGTACTGTGTTGTTTGCCTGGTTTGACATTTGTCATATACCTGAAAAAGAGCGGTTTAAGATTACTGAACTCTGTTGTAAAAACTACACTACATTTCGGAGCCGGTTAAAGAGTCTTGTGGTAATGAATTGTCGCCGTAACAGGACATATTCTGGCTTTGTTCTCAGCTAAAACATTCCTGAATTTGTTTCCATTTGTTTTAGTGTGTTAAGTCAGCGCATCGATTCGGCTCCTACTCTTGAGTGCTTTTTATGCAAAGTAAAATCAATTCAACGCACAATTCATGCTAACTGTCGCGTCTTACTCGTCCAAGTGTACCGCGGTCCACGCACAGTGAAGGCATATTCGTGGACACACACAGCCTCACGACGTTTTGAGAGAGCAAACAAGGTACGCCGTCAAATTCTGCATTTATATCACCTCATAATCACAAAAAAAGGTTTAGAAGTTGGCGTCGTAGTACGTTTAGTGCAGATAATCACTCGAGTTCCTGCACTAACTACAATATCCGCGCGCTTGCCAGCAATGCGGCATGCAAGAGCCGCTGAAGCAGGCGACGCAGTTAAAAACTACATTCTTGAATTATCTGTGCACGTGCGAGCGGCTGATGGCACGTGGTTTCAGACCTGGCCTCATCACAATATCACGCACTTCAATATTTTCTCTAAATGTGAATCAGCCTGTACATTATCACAGGGCGTCAGAACATGTGATTATCTTGATAATTTTTTAAGGCCATTCACCCACTACAAAAGACACACACGTTACTGCGACTAATACCTTTAGGCCACGTAGCGGGTGCATAGCAAGTTCGAAAGTATTTCATGCACTAAGTGTTTGAAGTACGCACTATAGCAACAAGTTATAACTATCGCGTTCAACTCTTAAAGGTGAAGCTAAAGGATACCCTAATGTTTAGAAACATTACATATGTACTTATATAATACAGCCGTCACATCGGGTTAGTGTAAATAGTAGTTCAGCGTCATCCACTGAAGTTCATTTCTGTATATATAGGGGTTTCCAGGGCTACAAACCTCGCGAGCACAAGCGCTAGATATCTGCTAACAGATTGGGGTGTTGCTAATAACCATGTTACTGCTGGCATTGTGACGCAATTGTAAAAAAACTCATTATATAAAACACATGCGTCTGTTCAACGTATGTCTGTGCGTTCAACGTTTGTACAAATTTTTGGCGTCATTTCGTAACGTTTCCCTCGACAAAACTTTACTACACAGTCACCTTCCATTTATGTGCTTCGCATAACATCGATTCTCAATATACATGGGATTTGTTAAATTTTGTTCTGCGCATGGTAAATCTAAACAAAGCTGTCATACAAAGAAAAGAAAAATTGCACCACAGATCCACTCTGTGATGGTTAAAGCTAGAAGCACTGGGCTCACATTCACAAAGCCTTCGGCTCACAAAAACGTTTAGTGGTAAGCCATTGAAAGATATTGCTTGCGTGTAAGCTGCAATCCAAAACAGCAGTCTAACTGTATACAGCGCATATGAAGAGCTCCTTGATTAAGAAGTGCAGATTTTTCCCGCTGTCGATTAGTTGTGCCTAAATGTAAACGAAGGCTACCGCCACTCTTTGCATCGTAGTGAGAAAATTTCGGAAGCAAAAAGAATCGTAAAGCTTGTCTAAATGGTGTGATAAAAAGCCAAGGCTCTGCGATGTAATTTAATAAGCCATCGTAAGTAAACACTATAGAGAGCACAGCTTCTAGCAGCGGCACTTCATGATAATACGAGTGTTATTTCTGAGTGTAGGCATCAGATGGACGAATCAGCTCACGTGAGCGAGCTTCTTTCTTGCAGACATACTGCCACCTCCTTTGTGGTACAATAAAAAGACTCTTGTATACACGTTATAATTCCTGAAATCACGGAAAAGTCTAGTCTGGATTCAGGGGCTCTCAAGCAGATGACACTGACTGCGTTAAGTAATTTCCACTGCGAATATCGCACGGGTGCTTTTGTATTTCCGGCCCCTTCTGGTGCCAATAAAAATAAATAAAAAATTAATTATTATTGTCAAAAGAATATTGTACGCAAATGTATGAATAATGCATCTGAATCCACGGGTGGGTAGGCTAACAGATTCATTGCACAAGGCAGTATGTAATGAAGTGAAACTGAAAGACAAAAAAGGGTATGTATGTCACAAAGCTCTAGGACGAATAAATAGATAAAACGACATTCAAGCCATAATAATAAATACAAACAATTACATGGGGTTGCTATTAAAAGAACACTAGATTTCTTTTATATATTCTATTTCTGTAGTTTTACGTGCCGAGACCCCGAAGCGAAACATGAATTCAGCCATGGGTCATGACTCTCACCACCTCTCTTCGAAAGACTCTATAAACATCAATGTGATGG